CTCTCTCTCTCTCTCTGTGAGGCGCTAATGGAATCATTACTAGCCTCTCTGTGTTAGACAAACACCAGACACCTCCAATTACAGCCTTTTTTTCCTCAATCTCTGGCTCTTTCTCCTCTTCTCTGCTATTTTCTAACCTTGCTCTGGTGTCTGCGTCTATAATAGGACTGTCCCCCCCCTACTCCCCCATTTTGTTCCTCACCCATCCTTTCTGATATTGTCTTCCTTTTTCACCTCACCATTTTTCTTTCTGTCTCCATCCTCCTCTTCCTCATCATCTCATGGCCCTCGTCTCCTCTGTCTGCACTCGTTAAACATTTATAGATCACGGGTTCATCTTTCTCTTTTTCTATTTTCCCACCCCATGCTTAGCTCTTATTCCCTAAAATGAGGTACAAAGTGTGTTTAAATGTGTGTGTTTGTTTTGGTGTTGTTAATGCTGGACACTGGATTTGATTAAATCTGGCGAAATGCTTTATGACAAAAAGTGATGTTACTCGCACAGAAAGAGGGGCACAAGTCTTCCAGTGCAAACAGAGCAGTAGTGACTAACTATATGAGCGGAAATAATGCGATTCATGGGAAATGTGGTGAAACACAAGCACCAACAAGCGACCTAAAATTTTTGAAAAGGTCAAGTGATTTAAATGAGGTTTTATTTTACAGGTTCTTTAGCTTTCTACATTTCTCCGGCATTGATGGGCAAAGACTGAAAGATTCTTTAGGTTAAAATGGGAAATAACTGGAATCAGCTATCTGTAAATGAACCACATGAACAGTATCTCATTTTTAATAGAAGTACCAAACCAGTTGTTTTGAAGGAAATCCTTAAGTAAACTATGGGACCTGTAAAATAAGGTTATAGTCATTTACTAAAAGAGACGGGCACTACAGTTTTTAGCAAACGTTACTCAAAGAGGAGTGCATTTGTTGGGGACTATTTTTAGCACCGGCTTAATACACATTTGCTGGGTCTACAGATGCTGTGGAAGAACACTAGCTGTAGGTAGGGTCTTTTGCAGTTTGAGTTTCGCAGCCACCGTAGTCTTTCCTTCACACCTTAGAGCCTCTCATTCCCAGGTCGTCAAATACAGATGCCAGCGGTGTTTAGTTAGTTGAAATCTGCAACTTAACCACTAGATTCCACTAAATCCTTCAGTCTGGTCCTTTAAAACTATGTTTATAGTTACTGAGGGAACATTGCAACCAGTGCAACCGGATGACCCACAGATGTGCTTTAATAATTTTTGGGCAACAAAGGAGCTCTATGGCACAAAGGAAAAACCTTCATAAGACTTTTGCTACACAGACAATACTCTTAGTAAGATCAGTGCATTATTGGTTTTAGTTTGGTTTTGTGTTATTTCCTTTGATTTTTTTGATTTACTGTGGTGTGTAGTTAACACACTGCTGCTCCAATGTCCGTAGCTCAATTACATAAAATCACACTCTGTGTGCTTTGTTACCACTGGAGTTACATAATCACGCTCTCTCTCTCTCTCACCCTGTTATTCAAACACATAGTCTCTCACTCTCTGCCTCTCTGTCACATACATTTGCACAGCCTCGTCAGTTCTCCTCCATCTCTCTCGACCCCATGCAGTGGCCTCTATCTGTGCAGCCGAAGCCCCCCGCTTTGTCTTGCTTTCTTTTCCTTCTCTCCCTCTCTGTTTCTGTCTGCCACTGTTTCCTCCTCCCCCTCTATTTCCACCTCCCTTGCTCTCCTCTGCTCTTTCTCTCTGTCTCACAGCTGGTAGGGAATGTAGTGAATTCTCCTCTCAAACCTCTCCTGCCTTAAGCCCTAGGGGTACATGCTGAAGGGCAGGAGTGTGTGTGTGCAGCTGTGACTAGGTGTGTGTTTGTGTGTGTGTGTGTTCTGTCCTTCTCTGTGTGTCTGACAGCACCAATTACTGCCTCAGATGCCTGAGAGATGGAGGAGACGGAGTGGAGAAGGACAGACACCTGTCACCTAAACACAAGTTCTCTTGCTCTCATCTCCTCTCTCTCTTTCTCAGCGGGCAAAACTAATATAGGTCAGCATGACATGTCTGTCTGTCCATCGGCTATACCTGTCCAACCGTCTCCTTTTTCCCTTCTCTTCTTATTCATTTGACTGTGTTTGGTGCTGCCAATATGAGGCAAAAACTTAGTTTACAAGAGGAACTTTTCAAAGTCACACCACACTTGTCATACTGATTCCATTTAGCTCTCATGCTGTTCTTTTCACTTCTCAAATTGGACAGAAACCAAAGTGTAAATCACTGAGAAAAAAAGTCCAATGTGCATCCGATTCGGTGTGAATTGTCTTGTCAACAATGTGTTCATTTGGAACGCTGTGGAGGAGACACAATGGGTTTCTGGACTGGACTTGAAATAATAATT